AATCAAATGTTATTGTTCTTTTTTCATGATTCCCTTGAGCTGAATTGAATCTCCTACTCTCCCTCCTTCAAAATACCCCAACACTATAACAGATCCCCACCCTGATGCCTTACTGTTGAAACCACACATTCATCATTCAGTCTTTCTCCTGGCTTCCTTCTCTCTTCTTACTACCAAAAAGTTCAAACTTGGGCTTATTTGTCCACAATTCATTTGTCACTCATTTAGTTGTCCAGTACTTATGAAGAATTTTAATAAAAAAAAAAAAAAAAAAAAAAAGAGATAGCAACTCAAATATGTGTACCTACTAAAAATAAGGTTTATAGTAAGAAGAAATGTCAGATAGAAAATCCTTTAAAAAATTACTGTTGTTTAGATTTCAGGTACGAAACTGAAGCTAATGGATCTAGATTTGTAGAACCATTGAGAAAAATGGTCTTTTGTTAAATAGGTTTATTCAAACTTTGCCCCACAGGCAAGCAGGCTGTCTCTAGGACCGAAACTGGTAGAGACACACTTTAGCAAAGAAAGTGGTTTGCCTGTTAGAAAAAAAGAGATGCAAGTTCAATTCCTGTCGGAAACACAATTTTTATTTAGTAAGACTTCTCAATTTAGGCCGTTGTTATTAATTCCACTGTTTAATAAAAAAAAAACAGGGATTGCAACTCACACATGTGTATCCATGAAAAATAATGTTTATAGTAATAAGAATTAATATATTATATATATATATATATATATATATATATATATATATATATATACTAGCAGTAGAGCCTGGTGTTGCCCGGAGATATAACAGTAAGAGATAGATCAAGTATCGACCATCATAAAGACTGAAAAATAAAATTGATAAAGAGTATTGTTTTAGGTTGACGGACACATGTGTCTTAATTAGGTTTTTTTTTTTTTTTTTTTTTTTTTATGGATTGGTCAAACCCAAACTCAAACAAAAACATTGTTTTTAATTGTTATGAGTCTACCAATTGAATAGAATTTTTTTATAAACAATTGTCTTGTAAATGGAATCTTTAAAGCATTCTCAATGTAAAAATAAAGAAAAAAGTGTGCAAGACAATAAGAAACACTACCTGCCAAAAAAAAGTGAAGTTTTGTTGAAATTGGTTGAAAAATGTAGGAAATCTGATCCCATATATAAACAAACACACACAAACAACCAACCAACCAACCTGGGTTTTATAATAATAAGTATAACTCGATATGAATTGTCCCCCTTTCATTCATTTCAGTGATGCCTCTTAATCGTGTTTTCAAATTGATTTTGTGCAAAAACAATTGTGTTTTTCCAATTTTTGGAGCTGTCAGAACCACCCCAAGGTAATTTTATGTAGTCCTGTGAAGTTTTGTTGAAATCGGTTGAAAAATATAGGAAATCCAATCCAATATATAAACGTACAGACAGACACACACACAACCTGGGTTTTATAATAAGAATTATATATATATATATATATATATATATATATATATATATATATACACACAATATTTTCTGACAAATAGCATATGGGACTCTGTACTCATAAACTGTAAATTGTTTTCCTAAAAACTCTCTTCAAAATAATCTAATTTCATATCCCAATGCATTTTATGTCTTGGAAATACAATGAATAATTTTCTTTTTATATACTTATAACACAAGAAAAAAAAAATTCAACATAAAAATCATTCTAATTAGATATTAAAATTACAGTTAAAAATGCCATTACTCAACTACAATCTTATACTAACTGTATACAAAAACAATAAATTATTTTTTTTTAAATAGTCACTATTAAATGCTCTAATCATGCACTTTTATCTACCCTATACTTGTATATATATCTTATATATGTGCTAAATATACGCATTATATAATATATATATATATATATATATGATCTTAAATATATGTGTCATATATAGCCACTTCTGTGTATATACTTTACACCTAGTCATTTCAATAACCTTGTCTCTTTTTCAGTTTTCCAAACATTAAATATACATGATCGAGGAAGAAAGATTATATTTTGCAAAATTCTGTCTTTCTAAGATATAAAGAAGTTTTATTTCTTGCAATAAATTTCAATAAACAAATCTCCTTTCCAAACACAAGTTTTCAATATATCTGATTTGTCTAACGGTTGAGAGACTTATGTATTCTCCATAAGGTGCCAACTGTCAGTATTTAAACCAAAATAAAAGATATATTTCAAATGTTCCTCACTTGGAAGATTGGTGCAGCACAATCTACCTAACTTTCATTTCTCCTTTAGCTAGACTAGGCCGAGCTTAATAAATGTCTATAATAATAATTTAAAGTTATATTCAAATAACAGCACATAAAACTGTAATACTAAATTTCTAGCATTTCAATTTCACTGTTGGGTTGTTGCTATTCATTAGCAGTTCTTCATTTAAGGCAAGAAATATTCCAACTCTGATCCTAAGAATTTTTCACCTTAAAATTGGTAAAGTTAGGGAAAAAGATAGTTTTCCTTTTGTATTTTAAATCTAACACAAGTATAATGACTAATTAACCAAGTACCAAATATTAACATTTCGGCTTTAGATTTTAGACATCACCACACCATTACATGTGGTTAGTAATTTTTTTTTTTTTTGATGGTCATGTTTTATAAGGCCCGAGAGTCAAGGTAGAAGGTTACAGAGTAAAAGGCATAGTTTATGCAGATATGTGGGGAAGATAATGGTTACCCTAGACTTGAACAGGATTGTAGTGAACAAGGAAGTGCCATCTTGGGAGTCAGTTCCACAAAACTTGAAAGGGTGTTTGGTGACCAACTATCATTGTTCCATAGCAAGTCAAGTCAGCTGCATCACAATGTTAGTCTCCACAGCATTTCTGAGACCAGTACACAAAAGTTGTACCGTTTCTGCCACTTATTGAAAATCAAATTAGTCATCTTTTCACCAGGAGAGATTATTTTTAAGAGCAATAAAAATAATCAGTACAGACTATATAGTATGTGCTATTTGACACTATGAGAAAAAACAAAAAAAAATAATCTTCACAACTGAAGCCCCCCTGTAATGGCATTCATCCAGGGTGGGTTGAGCTGGCTCCAATATTGGAGTTTCATGGGAATTTGGAATTCACAAGCGGTCCCCAACCCGCATGTATAGCACATGAGAGTTGATTATAGTGGTGAAGGCTTCGCGCAGGACCATCCACGCTTTTTGAAGGGACGAATACAGAGACCTGGTGCACTACGTGCCACAAGGTTCCCAAATGACCGTCCGCAGGTTTGAATTCAGAGTTTTCCTTCTCCTAGACCGGTTGCCAAGGCTATAGAACCCAGTCTGTCCTGCTATTTACCCATAGCTGGAGGAAGAAGAAGAGGATTCACACCTTTCCCAAGGGTATTAGCACGTAAGTGAATGTAATGGATTTGAGTGGAATTCGAACTTGGCTCTCCGATTACTCAATCCAAGCCGCTATCCATTACTCCACCATGCCTCCACAACTGAAGGACTTGTAATAACCAATTAATGATTCTACCCAAATTGATTGATTTGTTTTTTTACAGCTTATCAACCTTTTGAGGGTTATTTAAAACTGGAAAATATTTTTAGATTGTAAATTTGGGGGGGGAGATAATCATGATTTACAGGCATAAGTCCTACTAATTAACCCATTGCTGGAGGGAGAAGATGTGGATTCATACCTTTCCAAGGGTATTTGTGCATAACAAACCCACTGGAATTGAAAATCTGTTCTTCTAATTCTGAGCCATTATCCATTACATTACCATATATCCAAGTTTACAGCGCCTGGTATTCCCAAATGGTAACCCATCTAGGTACTGACCAGGCCTGACATTGCTTAACTGTGATGTTTCAACATTATGCCGCAATAAACCTGAATCTACCCAAAGAAAACTTCACAACAAATCAAAAAAAAAAAAAAAAAAAAAAAAAAACAAAGTTACTTTAATCAGGAGATAGCAAAACATTAAATAAATGATCATTCCTCTTTTTACTAGAATTATTAGGCAAAAATCTGACACGGGCATATTTTAGTGGGGAGTAATTCACATGACTCAACATAGCAATTTTATTATCAGTCATACAAAAATAGTTCAGTTTCTTTAGTCATTGCTGCAGACCCTAGTGTGTAATCCTACCAGTCTTAGTGCAATAAGGCAATGAAAAATGGATCACTGGTCATTAGGCTTCAGTTATTTAAAGATTTCAAATTACAGATGACCAGAAAAAAAGCTGATGATACTGGGTTTTGGAGGTTTCAAATATTTGTATTTGTTTTTTTTATATATGACACAAGATTCAAATAGGATTTCTCCCAGCTGATTCCTTCTACATGATGTTTATGAATGATGACACTTTCTAATGTGTCATATAGGAATAAAGTGTTGCTGCTGACACTTGAGTTTGAACATAGATCGCCAGAGAGTAAAAACAAGCGATCCCATTATTGAATTAAGTAGACCACATGACCATAGAGGAAACACATAAATAGGAGGTTGCATGTCATCTAATTGATCACTATTTTTATTCAAATCGCTATTTCTACTCTATCCTCTATTACTATACTGACCGTTATTCTCTACTCTATTCACTATACTATTTCTCTATTTAGATCACTATACAGATTACTATTCGAGTGAGTATTATCGAGTAAGTACTCTTAGTACAAGTGATATTAGAAGGTGTCTGACACAAGTATTGTTCAATGGTGTTACTATAGTGACATCTGCGATTACAAAGTCACTACTACAATGAACATTATGAAAGTGACAAATAAGTATTCGCTGACATCACGAAAGTGGCAACAAGTGTTTGTTGACATCACAAAATAATATTAATCAAAGCAAATAAAAGAAACTTTTGCAAATGAAGCAGTTAATCATTGCATTTTTTAATTTTAATTTTTCCACCTTTGATCTTTCAAAGAATCATAGAAAAAGCTTTAAAAATGCCAATCATATATACAAGGTGCATCATCATTTGTGCTATACAAGTGGAAATGAATGCAGTTGACTAAATGATCAACAAGAACTATGCAAAAAAAAAAAAAAAAAAAAACAATATCATGTGTGCTTGCAAAACCAAAGTACAGCCAATAGAATAAAAGTAGGATTCAGATATTGATAAAGGAGAGACAAGACAAGAAAAATAATTTGGAAAAATACCTGCCGAACAAAAAAATATTTATGGCAAAAAAAAAAAAAAATAAAAAAAAAAAAAAAAAAAAAAATAAAATAAAAAAGTTCAACTAGAAATATGACAAAATTAATCATTATCACTGACCACAAGTATTGGATTCAGAGTCTATTGCAAAGACATGTAATAATTTCTGGCCCAAGAACAAGAGGAACAAATAATACTCTTGAAGAATTCAATTTGCATGCTTACCTTGCCATAATGATGAGTTTTCACTAGTGCCTTACCAATTTTACTTGCCAAAGTTGTGTCTTTAGGGTTCAAGCGCAAAGCACTCTCATAAATTTCAATCGCTTTCTCAGGCTTGAAAAATAAATATAACAAAAATTAGAATAAAACCAAAAGAGAAAATTAAGAGAAGGGTGCTGAAAAGAAATTAAGAGATGGGGTGCTGAAAAGAAATTAAAAGAAGTGTGCTGAAAAGAAAAAAAAAGAAAAAATTAGAAAAGGAAGATAAAAAACTTCCCGCGAGTATTGAGATTTGTTGATGTTGAAAAATTCCTGGGACAACCAAGAAACACTTCCAAGAAAAAATAAAAAAATCTGATGTTTCCTCAGACTTCTGGAAGTTGGTCAAGCCAAGAAATTTTCATCACCGATCATATAAATAAAAATGTGAAAACCATATCAACTTCATGCATGTACATAGAGAAATATATTCATAATTTTTTCTACATACACTTTTTGATGTGCACAAACATACCTGTACATACAGAAATATAGTTCAAAATATTATATATATATATATATATATATATATATATATATATATATATATATATATATATAAAATTCCCAGAAGGATTCTGTGGATAAGACAAATTGGTATAAGAAATGACAATTGGAAAAAATCTTTTTTTTTTTGCCGACGTGTTTTGTCTTCCAACTTTATCAAGGCCAATAATGAAAGCGAAATGTTTTTGTTTTTACGTAGGAGCATCTCTCTCTCTTTTTTAAATTTTGGATTAAATGTAACTATGACAACAAAAACATTTCACTTTCATAAAGTCAGAAGATAAAATGCATCAGCAAAAACTAAGATTTTCGAATTGTCATTTCTTATCTTATCATATATATATATATATGTGTGTGTGTGTATATATATATATATATATATATATATTATACACACACACACATTAATTAAAATATTAAATATATATATATATATATATATATATATATATATATATATATATACACACACACACACACACACAGATTTCATTAAAAATGACAAGGTACTGCAGTTAAATTCTTTATTTAATTTTTCTTGTATTCTTCTAATTTTCTTCTTTTCTGAACATAAATTATGTAGAAATTATCCAAATGTTTTGTATATCTGAGCATTTTTGGCTATACTTTTAGCTATTATCAAGGATTTTACTTTTAACTGAATGTTTGGATTGTTCTATGTATCTATCCAGAGTCATAGGAATGTTTTACTTTCCAAACATGGTCAGCACATTGTGGCCATGTTCAAAGTTGATATTATTGAGTGTTGGCTTTTATTTTATATTTTTTGTTAATAATACTATTTTTAGCCTTTTTTTAACATGTGGATAAAGCTATTATGTTTGTGTTGAATTAGGTCTCATTTAAATATACATGGAGACCTACCAAACTATCCACAACATAATCATAATTACTACAAATCATTTCTCTATCCTCATTTAGTGTCTTATTCAAAATTCAACTTTAAATAGCCCAGCAACAGTTGATGTCATGAAGCAAACTAACCTAAGGTGTATGTATGCGTGTAGATATACTTGTAAATACATGTCTGTGCATGTGTGTGTGTATATATATATATATATATATATATATATATATATGTGAAAAGTGTGTATATAAATAAATATAAGTATGTATAATTATTTATATATTATATGTGCAGTACTTATTAGAAAGCGCTCAATATCAGAGATAGAGCTAACATATTTGGTTGGATAGATGTGAGTTTGTGACCCTGGGTTTCACGCTTTAGCGATCGTCAGACAAACTCTCTCTCTCTCTCTCTATATATATATATATATATATATATATATATATATATATTTTGTGATGTATGGTGACCGTTAATAATTAAGCATAACTCAAAACTTCAATGTTAGGATAAAAAAGTATTTAATTACAACTGCAGATAAATATTTAACAAGAACAAAGAAGTAAACATCAACCATAGATAATTAACCAAAATCATCAGCACACAATAATTCACACTAATTCAACTAGATTCCACTCAATAGTCACTACAGTCAGTAGCCTTACACCACTATTTATAACACCTGGTGGAAAACATATTTCTAAGTCCAGAGTGTCATGCTCGAATCTTAGTGTCAGTAGTTACTCATTTTCTTCCTATATGACAATTATGAAATAGATTAAGTCTGACAATTATTTTATATATTTTCTATTTATGCATTATTTTTATAGACATAATTTATTAAAGAAAATGCTCTTTTTTTTTTTTTAATTAAACAGTATTAATTACATTTACTGGACTGGAGAAATTTGGTAGAAAATATGTGCTCTCCAACAGAACTTGAACCTGTAAGCCTTATGGGGAACCGTCATTTGATCTGACATGAAGTTAACCATTAAGCCATAAAGAAGCGTATAATTATGGTTCCCATTAGAGTTACAGGTTCAATTCCTGTCAGAGAACGCATATTTCTTACAAAATTTCTTGAACATTCAGGTCATAAGTGTAATTAATACTGTTTAATTAAAAAATAAAGCATTTGGTTAAATAAATTATATCTATGAATATAATGTATAAACAGTATATATATATATATATATATATATATATATATATATATATATATATATACAGAGACACTGCAGGAGATTTATAAAGTCCCTGTGCTATTTTAAATACTTATAGTGTTGGAGCTATAATTAATTTGTAAAAAATATTTATAAGCTTGTTGTGCCTACTTTTTTTCTTGTTATTTAGAAAAAATTCTTCTTTTTACCTATTATTCTTTATCCATTTTCGAAACTTCGGAATTTTTTTTTTTTTTTTTTTTTCACAGAAATCTTATTGAGCCATGACTCCACTAAAAGAGAAAGTAAATGGGTTTTTTTTGGTTGGCTGAGTTAAAAATCTGTCACTGCTCTCCAAAGAAGGTTTAGAACTCATTACAATAATAAAAAAAAAAAAGCACTAAACGGGAATTCCATATCCAAGTGGATGAAAAAGTTTCAAGAAACAGATTCTGGCAGTCTGCTTGAACAAGTGTAAGTGAAGAAAGTGTAGCATCCTTAGAGAAAGCCTTCATTTGTGGAACATCCAAGAAAATCATTAAAATGGACATTCTTCTTTCTTATCCGTTTTATGGATTAATTCTATCATGTAGTTACAAAACTCTAAGTATTTAAAATTGGACACAGACTTTACAAAATCCCTGTATAATAATAAATATGTATGTAATAATGCATGTGTACATTCACAAATTATATATATATATATATATATATATATGCACACGTGCAGGAAAACTCTGCATATGTATATGACTGACATAAAAAATAAAAATAAATTTTCACTCAGATTGGATAAGAGTGTTTCTACAGTCATTCCCTTTCTACCTTTTTCTTAAATTCAATTTGCCAGAAGGCTAAAACAGTGATAAAAATATTTTTGATACATTAATATTCACAGATGTAGTTTCCATCTTTGCTGATAAAAATGGATATGGGATTTTTTTTTTCTTTTCAATTCTAGATCAGCTGATAAGCCTCCTTCAGAATTCCAATCTTACACTTACGGACTAAAAAAAAAAAAAAAAAATCTATTTCGTGCCAGGCTGCTATAAATAATTTTTTTTTTTTTTTTAAATTCCATTATTTTATTTTTATGTAGAAAGAAATAAGCAATTTGAAAAAATAAAATTTTGAGTTCATTTTCAAATTTCTCTCTCACCTAAGTATCTGCAACTTTTCATAAAAAATCTTTTGTAATGTTAATTAACTAAATTAGTGTTTATATCATTTCTTATATACAGAATATTAATAAATTTACAGGCTCAACCCGCTCATTACCAGATATGCTTAGGAAACGCTATAGTGATTTATTAACCACTTACTAAGTAATTTTTTTAAAAATAAAGAATTGAATTAAATTTCCTATGGTGGGGTTAGGGTTTTTTTATTTGAGAATGATACTAATTTCATCATTGTTGTTTAGGAAACTTGATAAAATTGTTACAATTAAATCACGGCTGCTTTCCTGAATGTGCCTGATAAAAGATTGTTTCACCCATTGAGGTACAATGTTTCTCAAAAAGATGCAATACCCATGTAAACTTAATTCTAAAGTTTAATTTGCTTTTATGAATATTGTAATTTTTAACTGGAAAGTTTGTAAATAAGATTTCATTTATTCCTGGGGAGTGGCATTAATAGCTGGTGTCAGAAAATAGATAAAAGCTTTGATTTCAAGTGCTGTTTTTTTTTTTCCAAGCAATCTCAAGTCTTCGAAGATTTGTGCAAGAAAATCTTATCCCATCCTCATGCAGATTTTTCCTAGACTTATTTTATTTTTTTTAATGCTATGTCTCTTCAGGTGATCATCATTCTCCACAGATTTCTTTTCTTCATTATATGGGAATTGCTATGAATGTTTTGTTTTTTGATGACTTATCAACCTTTTGCAGGTTATTTAAAGCTAGAAAATATTTTTTAGTTGTAAGAATTTTTTGGAGATAATAATGATTTACTCATACGTCCTAATAATTAATCCATAGCCGGGGGAAGAAGAGGTGGATTCATACCTTTCCCCAAGGGTATTTGCATGTAAGTAAATATAACAAACCTAACTGGAACTGGAACTTGGTTTTCCAATTTCCCATTCCAAGCTGTTATCCATTACACCATCTACACATACTAGTTTACATACTATTCCCAAACAGTCACACATCCAGGTAAAATGATCAAACATGATGTTGCTTAACTTTGGTGATCATATGAGAACCGGTGTTTCAACATGATATGCCTGTAAGTCCCATGAATTGCTATGATTTCTTGGGAAAGTTAGTGGAGTGTTTTTTATTGCTTTCAACATGGTTTTGAATTTGGAGTATTCCTTCTCCAAGACAAGCTGCCATCGAAAGTTCAGCAGCTCAGTGTACCCTGCTTTTAACCAACATCTCAGAGAAGAGCAGATGGATTCATGCCTTTCATGAGAACATTTTTGCAAAAGGAAACAACACACTATGTACGAATTGGAATTTGGCTCGCCAATTCCAATTTTAGCACCAATATGGTATTATGAACTTGCACATCATTTCCCTGACTAAAGTAAGTAATAAAACACTAAATTTCAGTTCTTTATATAATATTTAGAAAAAAAAAAGGAAAACAAACCTCTTGAATGCTCATGTAAGCGTCACCCAGCAGAAGTGAAGTGTGAACACTAGGTTTTTTCTCTACCAATTCTCTGCAAGAAGAAAGGAAAGATATGTTATTTCATCAGTATGGGACATTTCTTAAAACAATTAGTTTGTCCCCGCAAAATTCTTCAGTATGATCGTTCAACTGTACAAAGATCAGCATGACCAAGTCAGACATAACAGCAAACTTTTAGAGTACCTCCCCATAAAAAATGGTGTAAAGTAAGGTTGTGTTTTTGCACCTACTCTTTTCACTTTATTCTTCAGAATGATGCTCCAGAAGGTCACAGAAAAAGTTGACGCTGAAGATGGTATCTACATGTTACCAAACTGATGACAGCCTGAGATTTTACAAACACACAATGGGGCAACTCATCTATGAACTACTTTTTGTTGACCTTGTGGCTTCCACTGAGATAACAACTTGCTTTGCAAGGGCTGCCTGAAGACTAAAGTTCTTCAGCAGCCATCACACCTCAGGAAGAAAAACCACCTTCCACACATCCACATTGGTGTTACTGAGCTGAGGACATTGAACCAATTCATATACCTAGGATGCATCATATCATCAGATGGTGAAATCAATAGGAAGATTGACAACAGATTGGTAAAGGCAAACAGGAATTTTAGCAGGTTATACAAACAAGTCTAGAATAACAATCAAGACAAGCACTATGACCAGTGTGTACAGAGACATTATACTGACCACCCAGGATGTACAACCCTAAGTTAGGAGTCAACTATCATCATCAGCTGAAACTCTGTGAGCAATTCCATTTGCACTGCATCCACAAAGTCCGCATAAGAGAGACTGTCACCAACGTTAAAGTTCTGAAAAGGGCTCTAGAATACAAGGATTGAGGTCATGCTAGTAAATATGCAACTACACTGGGCAGGACATATCTCCAGGATGAACGACCAATGTCTTCCCAAGATTGTATTGTATAGTGAACTCTCTACTGGACATCAGGACAATAGGGCAACCAAAAAGAAACAGAAAGACCCGCTGAATAGCACTTGTCACATAGCCATCATCAGTGGGGTCTGACCTAGCACCAAAACTGTCCATCAGGCTATATATTCCTCCAAGAATGGATGCTGGGTTGATATGAGGGAGAACAGGATAAAGAGAAGGCCATGTCACCACATCAACAATACCAGATGAAGACCTTACCTGTAGCTGTTGCGGACAGATCTACACTGGACTGACCAGCTATCAGCAAACCTGCAGTGAGTGTAAACAGCTCTCTTTTTAGTTCATGGCTCAAAGTCAATCGAAGAAGTAGTATAATATCCCTTCCTGGCTATCTACAAATTCCTTTTCTTTATTATCTGTGAATTGCCATCATCTTCTCGGGAAAGATAATGCAGTGCCTTCTTCAGGGTTTTGAATTCAGAATAGTGCTTATTGTGTGACTGCCAACTAAAGCTAGAAGCCCAGTCTACCCTGCAGTTTAACTTGTAGCAAGGGAAGGGAAAATTAGCATGCCACAGACTAGGACAGAACTTGAACTTGGCTCCCCAATTTCACTTCCTGCACCAATAACCATTACACTACCCACACTTCCTAAGAAAGTCCATACAAGATCGGAAACTACCTAGGCACTTTTCTTGAATTTGACAAATACATACTCATCTTTACAAAGATGACAGTTTCATTATTTGTAAACTAGATTAAACAGTTTTTTTCAAAACTGATTTACATTTTAATGTCATAAATCAAGTCATCTTAATTTCTTCCTCTTTTAAGATATATCGATTTTTAGGAATTTATGGAGAAAAAGTAGAAAATAGGTTTTGAACAGCATTATTCAGGCCTCTTAGTAAAACAAATTTCATATTTTATTAATAAATTTCATTATTTCATATTACATTTTTTATTATTCTTTATTTCATATTTCATTAATAAATTAACCTTCTTTCTACTATTCAAATCTCTTATTAATTGAGAATCAGACAAAATAAATTTCTTTATTAACCTTAACAGATTATTTCATATTTCATTAATAAATTAGTCTTTTTCCTACTACTAAATCAGCTACTATATTAACCAAGGATCAGTAAAAAAGAAATAACAAAATTTAAATCAATCATCTACAATAACAATTAAATTTATTATTTTTAATCTGATCATAAATGAAATTCTCAGTAGCAAAAGAAATAATCATACATAAAATAAGCAAAAGTTTCTATTTTATTCCAACGGAAAAAAAAAAAAAGGAATGCAGATTTTGATTAATTTTGTAAAGATTCCACCATAAATCCAACAGACCTGCTGGCCTTGTATAGAAGCCCACAGTGTGTGTGTGTGTGTGTGTGTTGGGGGGGCAGATTAAACTGGATTGAAAGCAGACTTACCTGTAACAATTGGCATAGAGTCTCTTGTCATTACGGTAGTTGAGATAGATATCTGCCATCTTCTCTCGAGCCTGCACAAAATACTGCTGTTCTGGACTTACATTTCTCAGTGTCCCCAGGGCCAATTCAATATCACCACGTGCCAATGCCAAGTCTACATTGGCAATAGTAATGCGTACTTCTTCAGGGCTTCCTTGGAACTCATTAATAGCATCTTGCATTACTTTTGCAGCTTCATGCTAAAATACAAATGCACATCTATGAATTGTATCTGCACATTGAGGGAGTTATACAGATAAAGGATACATATATAGCTTGCAATGGGTGTATATCTGTGTGGGAGTTCCTATGTCAGTTTATTTTTACATAAAATTTTTAACAAAATGTTTTTTTTAAAAACCTAGTAATCCCCCTTTAGGTTTAATATATAATAATCCCAACTTTGAATAAAAAAAATTCAAACAATTTTTAGATCAGTCTATTTTAATGTATATTTTTTTTAAATAAATACCATTAATCCCTGTTTATTTTAAATATAAAATAGAAATACTGTCTATTTTAAATGCAATATACATTTTTAAAATATGAGCACATGGCCGAATGGTTAGAATGTCTGATTTCTGACAATGAGACCCAGGTTCAAATCTCACCCTGGTCAATTTGTCAGGAAGGAGACTTCCTGACGTTATCAGTCTGGAGAGGGCAATCCCAGCATGTGGCACCTTTGGAAAGTGTCTGAAAACAATACCACAGGTTGACCCAAGCCTTGTGAGTGAAATTGGGTAGATGGTACCCTTGTGAGTTGTTGATAACTGTGCTAGCACAAAGTCACAAGTCATCATGAACAAGGGTTTGAGCATGCTGGCCTTGTTCAGACTGTTGATCACACTAGATAACACACTCTTTCCCAGAAATAATAACTAAGGTCGGTATAGTTGCAATATAAACCACAGGTGGGCTCTGTGGGTGTTGATCAAACACAAATGTGCCTGAGCAGGCATCTGTAACAGGGACTGGATAGCCACCCTTGTAGACAGGTATCCTTGAAGATGGTCAGCTATAGATAGATAAAACAATAATCCCAGTATAATATATGAACTGTGCCAGCATTATGTTAACCAGATATTTTTTATGAAAATTTAAATTATGTAACAGTCAGTCCCTACCAGCACCTGAAGATTGTATCATGCCTGAAACTCAGAGTCAGGCTACCAGTAAGGAATAATATGTATATTTATTAATATATAATGTGACACTATTGGAAAGGCGCTAGTAAATTGTAAAACTCTAAATGCTGATAGACTGAAGATATACTGATGATCAGATCAAGGAAAATGATAGAAAGAGATATTTGCTTGTAATTGAGAAAAAACTAGAAAACTGAAAAACACTAAATTCTGATAGACTGAAGACATACCAATGACCGGACGAAGGAAAATGGAAGAAAAGGATATTTTTTTATTGGAAAAAGCACTAGAAAAAGGTAGTTAAATTTTTCATCCACTGGGGAGGTAAAACAAAGAGACCATCTGGTTTTGATTAGAACTGAGACTATGTAACAAGCCATTCTGGAGGTCCAAGGACCTCTTGGAAAGTAATAGATAAGACTTACAACCGTTGTGTGATGAAGAGGAAGATGAACCTCTGGCTGCGAGTTTGGTTGATTGATAAGAAAGTTTTAGAAGCAGACAGGTTTCCAGCAGAAAATAGATAAGAGAATAATAATTAAATTTTTCATCTGCAGAAACGCAATAAAACTTCCCAAAATCAAGAGATTGTTCACTTTTTGCTACTTGTTGACCAAATGGTTGACAATGGAATAAAAATAATAAATTCCTGATGTGAAAATGACCACACACAAAAGCACAATAAGAAAGAATTTTGAGCAATAATTAAAATTTGGTCATTGGGCTAGACCATGTCTAGCCTTTAGGGGACGGGTTTGGTCAGGTGATCAAGGAGAGGGCCCAAGTGGAATTTTTAGGGAAGGCAGAGGACTTTTCATGCCCCTCAGGCAGTGATGGTGACAGGCACTCACACAAAGCAGGAGGGAGACAGGTTTGATCAGGTGGCCAAAAGTAGGAGAAGGCACAGGTAGAATTCCAAAGAGGGAGGAGGGACTCCCCCATATTTAGACATTTGCAAGGAGAGCCCTGATTGGTTGTTTGGGGAACATGGACATTCCCAGAGCACATTATGCCTTACCCCAGCCCTTGCACAGGGGTCCATAAAACAAAACGCCAAGACACTACAGCAGAGAGACAGCGAAGACACCATGGACAGTCTACAGCAGAGAGACTGCAAAGAGAGCAGAGTACCACTGCTTCATCTCACATGATTTGCCACCCTGAAGAAAAAGCCTCTGACTTAAAGCCTTGTTCCAAAATTCTAACAACAAACAGTGTGTCATGATAATCAGAAATGGTAAAGAGTTATTGCATGGAGAATATAGTCCTGCCATCAATAACTGTACTATCAACTTTGTATCAAGTAACTGTATATAAATATTTTTTTCTTCCTTTCATGTGACTTTACTCTGACTAGACCAAACCAAGTCATCGATTCCAGTCAACCATTCAGACCAAGCTAGTCTTACAATCAATTTTATGATCAACCAAGGGGATCGAACTGGAATACGGAACGGCTGGGATAGACATCATATAATTAATAGCTGTTATATTACATCAACCATTATTTTATTAACTCTAGCACTAAAGTGCGATATATATATATATATATATATATATATATATATTATGAAATGAACAAAGTCAGACAATTATTTTAAGACATTTTTATGTTTGTATCTATAAAAAAAGAATGTATAAACATAAAAATGTCTTAATATATATTTCACAGCAAGAATTATCACAGTAGGCTGTTGTTACTTTTTGTCATAGACTGGTTGCCAACAAAGGGTATAAGATCCATTCTGTCCTGTTATTTAACCCATAGCTGGAGGAAGAAGAAATGGATTGGTACCTTTCCCAAAGATATTTGCACGTAAGTGAATGTAACAAACTCAACTGGAATAGAGCATGCTTCAAACAATATACATATATAATGCACAGATATAGACAAATTTTTAGATATGTACATTTTTATGTGGGTGCATGAAGTTTAGTGGTTGGGTTTCTACACACTTTAGTCTTCAAAAGACATTTCCTCAGTAAAATATGAGACTTGTATGCATTTATTATATCGTTAGAGTATCAACAGTATTAAAACAAAAGTATATTTTGATAAAAACCCAATGCCTGGCACAAAGTCAACTACTCGGAACAATAAAGCCACTATGATGCAAGGGGTCGTTGAGTGTTACAAAATATGAGAAAAAAGAAATACTATTAAGGAATAAGAACAATGAAAGAACAAGAATTAAGAAGATAGAAGATAATGAATGATGTTGTATTTAAATTTTTGAAGATCAAAGTTGACTGGAAAGCAAGAGAGTTCCACAAGCGAGAATGGCAAACAAAGAAACTGTTAGCATTGAACTTAACGGTTCCATCTTGCCATTTCAACTGTAAAATGATGAGAACTTGCTGCCAATATTCTGTATTTAAATAAGCTCAGCTTGGACACACGCCATTCTAAGTTGGACAAAGCTTCAGATAAGTTATACCTGCATTTGTCTTTTCACTACACTAGTACTGTGCTTAAATTTACTTTCTAATGTTATACAGAGATCATCCCCCCCATCACAAAACCATTTTTTTTTGTCATCGGGAGGAGGAGTATAAAGAGTATACTATTACTTGATAGTTGTTCCTAAATAGATGAGGAAAATGATTTTTATTCAATACAAATGGAGTTGATATTAAACCCTTGAGATGATGAAAGAAGTTTAAGTCCAATATAATTCTGACGAACATACCATCATCAATTAGAGACAACATGGCTGACACAATTTGTTCTTGTATTAGAAACCCTTTCCAAACAGCTTCAAAGTCACTGAGTAACTAATTACACCTTCACTGGACAAGATTTGTATCTTCTTATTACACTAATATTGAATTGGTTATTTTAGTCCACTATATTCTACACATGTAACTACCATTTAATAATCTGAAACATTCTTTTGATAAAAGAAAAACATTTTTTAAAAATGTTTAATTATTATTTGTATTTCTGAAAAAAATAAAAAAAATAAAGGTAAAAAATGAAGACAAAACAATTTTCAAAATATTTTAATGCTGATAAATGTTTAAATTAAATTAAATTAAATTAAAGATACTGTTAAAGATAAATAATTTCTGTTTGAATTTCTGGGACTAGGAATTATCATAATTTATATTCAGACTAATATTCTCATCTTTGTATCACAACATTTCAACCTTCTTCAGGTGAGCCAGTTAATCATCAAGGAATTTTGAACTGAACCCCCTAATTTAATCTACAAGGGTACATTGTTTTCTTTCTACTGTCCATTTCTTGTGTTATCTTCGTCATCTTTGCCCTGTTTCAACTGATGATGTCCGTACTACCTGACTGAGGGATTGAACTCACAATCACTATACCAACAAATTCATGAAGTGATACTTTAATCCACTCAGCAATTTCATAGACACCTGAAGAAGGCTCAAGGGTAGAATTACCAAAACATAATGAGAACAAAGATAATGATATTAGTCTGTAAATAATGTAAATTAAAGATAAATATTCTAATATTAACTAATCCTTTATTTAACAATTTATTTTTTAAAAAATCCTATGTCTCTTCAGGATGCAGACGATGATGGCTCTCCACAGACTCCTTTCCTTTATTAGATATATAAACTGATGCATTCTTATGAAAGATTGTCATTTCCCATTGTGTTCTTCACAGTTTGAGTTTTCCTTCTATTACATCCAAATTGAAGACTCCAGTCTACCCTCCTATTTAACCCATACCTGAGGAGAGAAGAAACAAGGGCATAAGTGTGTAAGTGAAGGCAACAGACCCAGTTAGAATGTTAACTTGATTCACCAATTCCATTTTCTATGATAATATCCATTACACTAACTGCAGATCCATTTTACACAAAAATACTAGTTAACTTCTCATAGATTGATTTGTTTCTTAAGGCTTATCAACCTATTTGAATTTATTTAAAGCCAAAATAAATATTTTTGATTGTAAGAAGTTTTTTGGAGATAATGATATTCTGATACAAGTCTTACTATTTAACCCATAGCTGAAAGGAGAAGAAGTGGATTCATACCTTTTCCAAGGGTATTTGCATGTAAATGAATATAA